GAGAGAGAGAGAATGGTAGAGAGCATGAGAGGGAGGAGGGTCAGAGGGAGAAGCAGACTCCCTGCCGAGCAGGGAGCCTGGTGCGGGACTTGCTCCTGGGACTCCAGGATCATGACCTGAGCCGAAGGCAGTCGCTTAACCAACTGAGCCACCCAGGCGCCCTCACATTCTTCTTATAATCCTATTATCTCTCAGTTTTGTTTTGTTTTGTTTTGTTTGCTTTGATTCTTTGGAAACCTTCTCTTATCTCTATCCTGACTTCTGTCTGTAGATTTCTTTTATTTATTTATTTATTTATTTATTTATTTATTTATTTATTTATGAATGAGATAGAGAGCATGAGAGGGGGGAGGGTCAGAGGGAGAAGCAGGCTCCCTGCCGAGCAGGGAGCCCGATGCGGGACTCGATCCCGGGACTCCAGGATCATGACCTGAGCTGAAGGCAGTCGCTTAACCGACTGAGCCACCCAGGCGCCCCTCTTTTTTTTTTTTTTATTCTTATGTTAATCCCCATACATTACATCATTAGTTTTAGATGAAGTGTTCCATGATTCATTGTTTGTGCATAACACCCAGTGCTCCATGCAGAATGTGCCCTCCTCAATACCCACCACCAGGCTAACCCATCCTCTCATCTCCCTCCCCTCTAGAACCCTGTTTGTTTTTCAGAGTCCATCGTCTCTCATGGTTCGTCTCCCCCTCCGATTTCCCCCGCTTCACTCCTCCCCTCCCGCTACCTTCTTCTTCTTCTTTTTTTTTCTTAACATAACCCCCACCCATATTCTAGTCCGAAACTGCACACATTTGCCACCATTCTCTACCTCAAGACAAACCTTCTTATTTAATTATGAAAATGGGGAAAATGAAGAGATGGGGAAGATAAAGACAGAGAAGGGGGAAAATGGACCAGAGGAAATGATCAAATTCCTCCTAAACCGTGTTTCTGCCACTTGTGAGAATCCATGACGTCTTTATTCTACCGCCGACCTTCCCCAGCTGAAGCAGCAGGACGCTATTCGGAAGGAGCATGGACTGCGGCGTCTTAGAGTTTGGGGTTTGAATCTGGGTTTTGCTCCTTGCCAATTATGTGACCTTGGGCAAGTCACTTGACCTCTCTGAGCCTCACTTTTGCTCTGACATAAAAATATTAAGACATCAATTGTAGAACACGTATGGGGATTTTATGAGATAACTAACATTTGCTGTATATACCATCAAAATGGCAAAGTTCTACCAGGACAGTTACGAATAAAGGGGATAGTTACTGTAAAAGTAAAGTAGTAAGTATGGAAGTTTTCAAGTTCAAGAGAATTGCTTTGGCGTTTCGTTTACTTATTTACTATTTGCATCCCACCTGCCACAGGCCTCTTCCCTGAAACCCCATTCAGGTGTGGTGAATGAAAGAGCCTGAGGGAAGGAGTGCGGTCTGGGGGGCTTGGTTTGCTACAATAAGCTTGTCCGTGCTAATACTCTGTGACAAAAGATAAAATTTTAACCTCTTTCACAACATGATAGATATTGTTGCTCTGGGAATCCCACTTCTGAGACTAGACACTTTGTACACAGGACAGAGAGAAGCGCTGATCCACATTGCCACTTAGGAAAATACTTTGCTGTACCTTTTCCTTCTAGAAGGAGAAAAGGTAGTTCACTGTTATTATGATAACCTTATATTTTGTTGTCCCATCAAAACAATAAAATGCTCCTGAAAATTGTTCCCAGGGTCTGTTTATATATATATATATATCTATATAGGAGAATATATATATAGGAGAAAATCTCATTGTTGAGCTGAAATACCATTATTTTGACACTATTCACTCAGTTTCTCAAAAGCTTTGGCTTTCCAAACAGAAGAGTGATTATAAATCTATGTTGTGTGGAGTTGAGGTCACATTGAAACCTTTTTAAAGGACTGGGTGACTTGGGAAGTTGCTGAGTCAGAACTTCTCAGCAGCCATCTAATAAGAGTTTAAAGAAGGAGGAGTAAAATCTTCCCTGCCTCCCCCTTTTCCCAAAGGTCAATGGGAAGAGTTGTGGTTTCTCAAGACTTCTTTAATACTCAAGGATGGATCCATGAAGGTAGAACTTGTCTTTACCACCATATGTGACAGACTGTCATTTCAGTCAGTCATACATTAGTCATGCCAAGTTTTAGATTTTTCTCTATCTCTGTATCCTGCCCATAGAGGTAGTTTAACCCCTGCATGCTAACTCTGACTCAGAGGCTAGATTGTCCCCTGGGAAGATGAAAATACTCGTAGCTAGAAAGAGACATGTCAGTGAATGGACTGGGTGGAGCCATTTAGACTGTCCTCACAAAGTAAAAAGAAAGAAAGAAAATAGGCTCAAATTGGCTTTCTCTTTAAGCCTAGGGATTTGACATTTTATTGTGATTGCTCTACTCAGAAATTCTACTTAAAGCACGTTTTAGTTTTAAACCACTCATTTCTCAACCAAAGTCTGGATACACCCAACCAGAACAAGTGTTTGCTGAGGGAATTATTAAAAATTTGGAGGTAATTTCAGCTATGAGACTCATTTCAGCATAATTGTGACTGCTCTAAAGGAAATTTTCATTAGATACCTTGCAAAACACTGCCTCATTACCTTGGAATACATTTTAGAATGCAAAAATGGGAAGGCAAGCCACGTGCCTGATAGTTCCACTCTGCATTTTATCCTTAATCAAGGGACTTCTTAGCCTTTGGCCTTCAATTTCCTTAAATGTGAGGGAGAAAGGAGACCAGTGTTTCATTTGAAAGGCAATTTCCAGTGTTAATCAGCTTTGAAAAACTAGTACATTATGGCTTCTACTGGTTTCGTGACAAAGCAGTTAAAGTTTACAGATACTAAGATTAGTCTGTATCCTACTCTTAAACATTTAAATCCATAGGTAAGTACCCAGCATAAGCATAAATCTCTAGATATCATGATTGTGTCAATGCGTATATAATGTAAGGATACATTGTAGATGTATGATTTCATATTAATTGGAGTGGCGAGGTATTTAAAATGTACTCCCTATCTTTTATCAGGTACTTTATGTTATTTATCTCCTATATTCCTCGAATCTTTTTCTGTGAGCTAGGTAATAGTATTTTTATATTGAAAGAAACTGAAGCTCAGAAAAGTGACTTGCCCAAGGTCACCTGGCTAGTAAGTGGCAAAACCAAGATTCAAACCTCAAACTCCAATATCTTGAAGTGCTTGCTTCTTCCACACAGCATAGGGCTGCCTTCATCAGGTAAGGTCGGCTGTAGAATAAAGATGTCATTGATTCTCAGAAGTGGCAGAAATCCAGTTTAGCAGGAGGGAAAATTCTTCTTGGTACATAAAAACAGATTTGGCCAATAGCAAGGATAGTTGGAAGACAAATGGCATAGTCTCCATGACAGACCAGGAAGATTATCCAGAGAGCTTGGTGGATTAGCCAAGAAAAAGAGAGAGCACTAGGAAGCAAAAAAAAAAAAAAAAAAAAAAAAAAGTGAAATATCTCTGGAGGGGCAAATACATAGCAAATGGTGCCAAACAATTTGTAATTAATAGCTAAATTGTGTGGTAAAATCTCTAACTGCTTCAGGCATTTAGAAGAAAGATCTTCGAGGACTAAGTTAGTCAGAAAATGTTTGGCAGAGGAAGGTTTTTAAACTTACAAGGATGGAAGATGGGTAGCGATAGGGTGGATGTTTCTAGATGTGTGGGGCAGGGAAGGGAGTGATCAACATGAGGGAAGATACAAGGCCATGAAGAATGGCCTCTTTGAGAGTCTGTGGACCCAGGACTATAACTGAAGGGTTAGAGGATAAAGGATACATTTTAGGGAAAAGATGAGGCACAACATTTCAGGAGAGAGGAGATGATTAGGAAGCACTCTGAAAGCTAGAAAAGAGCGGTCAATGTCCCAGTAGAGGGAGAATGTGAATCACCCTCTGTTTGGGGAGTGATATGATTTGGTAGTATTTAATCAGTCTGGGAGATCAATGATAGACCGGATTCGGGAGAAGTGTTATTCAGGAAGCCTTCTGGAAGGATGTGACAATAATCAGGGAATTCATTCATTGTGATGGTCCTTTCTCACCACCTAGAAGTAGATCAAGGAGCATTTTGAAACCCCTCTAGGGTAATGATAAGCTACACTTAAGAAGGTCTTGCTGTGGATCAGGCACTGCTAAGCCTTTTATTTTCAGCTAATCTTAACAACTATCTATGAGGTATAGAAACTTTTAACTGCCTGACTTCACATTAAAAAAAAAAAAAAAAGGAAGAAAGAAAAAATGAGCCAGTAAGTGGTAAGGGCTAGGATACGATTATGGGTAGCATGACTCCAGAGTGATCAGAACTGGGTGTCCTGGCCCACCATCTGGGACAGTAGGTAAATGTAGTTTTAAGGCCCCCAGACACACCAAATGCAATTACAATGCTTCTCTCCCAACACACAGATGTTACAACAAATATTTTTTTAATTTACTTTTTTTTTATTCTTATGTTAATCCCCATACATTACATCATTAGTTTTAGATGAAGTGTTCCATGATTCATTGTTTGTGCATAACACCCAGTGCTCCATGCAGAATGTGCCCTCCTCAATACCCACCACCAGGCTAACCCATCCTCCCACCCCCCTCCCCTCTAGAACCCTCAGTTTGTTTTTCAGAGTCCATCGTCTCTCATGGTTCGTCTACCCCTCCGATTTCCCCTGCTTCATTCTTCCCCTCCCGCTACCTTCTTCTTCTTTTTTTTTTTTCTTAACATATATTGCATTATTTGTTTCAGAGGTACAGATCTGAGATTTAACAGTCTTGCACAATTCACAGTGCTTACCAGAGCACATACCCTCCCCAGTGTCTATCACCCAGTCACCCCATCCCTCCCACCCCACCCCCCACTCCAGCAACCCTCAGTTTGTTTCCTGCAATTAAGAATTCCTCATATCAGTGAGATCATATGATACATGTCTTTCTCTGTTTGACTTATTTCACTCAACATAATACCCTCCAGTTCCACCCACGTCATTGCAAATGGCAAGATCTCATTCCTTTTGATGGCTGCATAATATTCCATTGTGTATCTATACCACATCTTCTTTATCCATTCATCTGTCGATGGACATCTTGGCTCTTTCCACAGTTTGGCTATTGTGGACATTGCTGCTATAAACATCGGGGTACACATACCCTTTCGGATCCCTACTTTTGTATCTTTGGGGTAAATACCCAGTAGTGCAATTGCTGGGTCATATGGTAGCTCTATTTTCAACTTTTTGAGGAACCTCCATACAGTTTTCCAGAGTGGCTGCACCAGCTTGCATTCCCACCAACAGTGTAGGAGGGTTCCCCTTTCTCCACATCCCCGCCAACATCTGTCGTTTCCTGACTTGTTAATTTTAGCCATTCTGACTGGTGTGAGGTGGTATCTCATTGAGGTTTTGATTTGGATTTCCCTGATGCCGAGCAATATTGAGCACTTTTTCATGAGACAGGAGTCCATCAAAATCCTAAAGGAGAACACAGGCAGCAACCTCTTTGACCTCAGCCGAAGCAACTTCTTCCTAGAAATATCGCCAAAGGCAAGGGAAGCAAGGGCAAAAATGAACTATTGGGACTTCATCAAGATAAAAAGCTTTTGCAAAGCAAAGGAAACAGTCAACAAAACCAAAAGACAGGGGCGCCTGGGTGGCTCAGTCGTTAAGCATCTGCCTTCGGCTCAGGTCATGATCCCAGGGTCCTGGGATCGAGCCCCCCATCGGGCTCCCTGCTCGGCGGGAAGCCTGCTTCTCCCGCTTCCACTCCTCCTGCTTGTGTTCCCTCTCTCGCTGTGTCTCTCTCTGTCAAATAAATAAATAAAATCTTTAAAAAAAAAAAAAAACAAACAAACCAAAAGACAACCGACAGAATGGGAGAAGATATTTGCAAATGACATTTCAGATAAAGGGCTAGTATCCAAAATCTATAAAGAACTCATCAAACTCAACACCCAAAGAACAAAGAATCCAATCAAGAAATGGGCAGAAGACATGAACAGATATTTTTCCAAAGAAGACATCCAAATGGCCAACAGACACACAACAAATATTTTTAACTCCTTGCTGTGTACAATGATATAACAAGAACTTGAATGTACACTGGCATTGTTCTAAGTATGTTATTATTTCATTTAACTTCACACCATATGGAGTAATAGTATCTCTGATTTTGGAGGAGAAACTGAGACTTCAATTGGTTAGAGAGCTTCCCAAAGCTAGTCAGTGGCAGAGGTAGGAATTCTACCGTGTTGTGATAAGGGAGATAGAAAAATGCTTAAGAGACTGGAAGAAGTAAGAAATAACAAGTGGGTGAAGGGGAAAAAAATGTGCAAAGAGGTTGCACTTGAACTGAGATTTAAAGGCTGGGTTGGATGGCACAGGGTATTTCAGGCTGAGGGCAGGTGGCCAGAGTGGGAGGTGTGTTGGAAAGACTTGAGGCAGAGAGACCACTCATGTTTGGCCCTCAAAGAGCTGTTGAATAAATGAACTGGTGCATGCATGGATGTATGAATGAATCAGGAGGGACTGCAAAAGCACCGTGAAAGTCATAATTGAAGGGAAAATAACAGTGTAAAGGTGGACTGTGTAGGGCTTAGCAACTGATGGAGGATTTTGGTAATAGGGAACCAGTGTGGCTTGGTCAGTTAAGCGTCTGCCTTCAGCTCAGGTCACGATCCCAGGGTCCTGGGATCAAGCCCTTCATCGGGCTCCCTGCTCAGTGGGGAAGTCTCCCTCTTCCTCTCCCTCTCCCTCGGCCTCTCTCTCTGCCTCTGCCTCTCCCCCTCCCCCTGGTCATTCTCTCTCTCTCAAATAAATAAATAAATAAAAACTTTAAAAAGGGGGGGGGGAAACCAGTGGGAGAGAATATGTAGGCTTGGACAACTTGAATCTGAAATGGCAGATACATTTTGAAAAGTTCCTCAAAGAATGGGAAATGACATCTAGAATTTGGAAATAAGTTCATTATGTACACCTGTCAATTAGCTTAGTCGCTATTATTGCAAAGAATTAATCCTAAGGGAAAAAAATTAAAGTTTGGGAAACACTTTTTGGCCAAGCGAAATTTTGTACAATGCCACTTTTGCCTATAAGGGAGTTACATATTTAAAAAGAGAAGAAGGTCAGGAGTGATGACAAAGTGAAATGATAAATTGGCAACAAAAATACTGTCTCATTTCAGAAGTTCCAGTGTTTGCACATGTTTACCAGCTGCCTTCCATGAAGTAGTTTTGGGGTTCTATACGAAGCTAATGAGATTTAGCAAAGATGAGCTGTGATCAGGCCAATTTGTGCATTTCCCTCAAATGCTGAAGTTCTGGGAAACTGATTTACATTGAGCAGAATTTTGTGGTAATGTTCTGGGAATGTGAGACCAAAATTTCCAGTCTGTCAAAGTCTTTAAGAGAATTGAGAAAGTTGTACTTAGAATGTAATTATTAGTGTGACCTCTTTTGAACTCCCCAAAATATAGGAAGGGTTTTTGGTTTTGGTTTTTAAATGTTTGAAGTTCTGTACACCATCTATTGGAAAAACAAACACACACAAAAAGATGGTGATTTCATTCAAAAATAATCTGTTCATTCATCAAGTGGATGGAACCATTTTCTAGCAGGTAGCTCTCCTTAAATATCTCACCGTCCCACAGTGTGAGTAAGAACCGTGTCCACACTAGTTAGGATACAAATGTCTGGGGAAATGAGAACAAGAGGGAATTTTGGCAAAGTGAAGCTTATCGGCTGATACAGATTGGGGGGTTTTGATCCTGTCATGATGTGAAGGCTTCAGATGTTAATGATGACTATGTAAAACAGTCCAGTATAGAAGCATCTAAGATAAAATTCTTCTAAATTTTTGGCCAGGAACTTAAAACTTGCTTCAGTCTGTGGCTGCATTTTTTGTGCCAAATAAGAAGGCACTTTGCTGGCTCTTTTTTTATAGAAGGGCCAAATGAGATAGATTGGAAATATGTACTTTGAACAGCTAGGCAGAGTCTCAGGAAGTTTGCCAAACAAGATTTCCAAATAAAATGTTTGGGAAAGAAAACAGGGATGGACTTTGCAGATGCTGGATGGGTTCCACCAGCCATCTGTGCAAAGAGTTACTTGGTACCACATGAGCCGAGAGCTATGAAGTGGCACAAAACTATCAGCAGTAACTTCATTGTTAAACGGGCTCATTTATTTACCGGGCAACCCTCTCCTCACCAAGATAAAGTATCTGCATTTCCTTGAGAAACAATAATGATGACCAGAATTATTTAAACATAAAGGAATTTCAGCAATTGAACTATTACCTCAGTGCTAATGCATTAGCAGTCAAAGAAGGCAGATTAATTTACTTACGGTGAGCTAAGTGCATTCTTGGCTCGCAAAGGGGAATCATTTGCTCACTTAAGCCAGAGATCCCATTTTTGACGGCAAATGTCACTGCCTGGATTTCCCTTTGACAGTCTGGCAACCCCGCACCCCTGTTATAGTATCCATTTATTTGTCTTATTTTCAGCCAGATTAATCCATTCTGTTTTGACAAGAAGACTGATGGGTAATTGATAACTGTGATAGACACAAACAGAAGAGTTGGATGCTGAATAATTCAGCACTTTTCAGTATCAATAAGAGAACAGGTTGAAGAATTTGTGTCTCTATTTACACTTAAACTAAACTAAGTCAGCCCAGACATTTATGCTGCCAGTCTATCAGAAAACCAAACAGTGTACATTCGGTTTCCACCCGACAAAATGTTTTATAAGCTTGTAACAATATGTGTGAAGCTGCCAGAATAATAAATAGGTACAGCAGCCCATGCATGCTAATGTTATGTTGTAAGCAGTTTTGTTGACAAGTGCTAATACTTCTTTCATACTATCATCAAAAGCAGCTAATACAACAGCCATTATTTGCTAGCTTTCCAAGCAAGACATGATGGATTGTGACCTTAATATGGGTTAGCCGAGTTTTGAAAGTTAAACAACTTGCAATAAATCATAGAATTATTACAATGCAGTTTAATTGGTTAAGGACTGTTTATTTCCTAAACAGGGTGAAAAATTTCTGTTTCGGCACTTTTAATTTGCAAAGTGCATTTTCATTATGAATGGCAGTTTAATATTCTGCTCTTTTGTCATGCAAAATATGCAACACGCAGGCAATCTATTAATTGGACAAAAATGCATTGCAAGCGTAAATTATCCTTTATATCATCACTTGTGAGCTTTTACATCTATTAAATGTGTTAAATGGAACATAGTTAAAGACTGTACAACTTGCAGGCTACTGAAATTTAAGGGAAGCTTCAAGATGATTTTAATGACCTTTATTTTTGGCAAAATAATTAGGTAATTGTAAATATAAGGCAATTTAAAGAGTTACTGTTTCCTTAAGGCATAGGTGCATATGTTTTATGGATTCGGCAGGAAACAGACAATAGCACTGGTTCATATTGATATGTCTTGAGAAATGGAATCCACCCTGGTGTATTTACTTCTTTCTTTGCTACATTATAATTTCTGAGCAGAAATTCCCATTGGCCAATGTGTAGAACAAGGTGAGTAAGGCAGTAGCAAACTGATACAGTAGCATAGCTCAGCATAACTGAATAGCCACCTCCATATGCTTTGGTTCAGTGATGTGCCTTTGCATGGGGCTATTTAGAGCACAGAAACAGTAACAAAATACTTTGTAGTAGGAATGTTGATATGACATATGCTCGATTTTAAGAATGCCAGATCTCTCAATGTGTTCCTGTAAAGACTGCCTCAAAATGCATGCAACCTATTCATTTACACACAGCTCTGAGCCCATTTCTCATATTTATTGACACCTGGGCAGACCTTTAAAAAATGTAAAGCTTCCACTGACTTCAAATATTATCCATAGGTTGGCCCAGTGGAAGCAAGGGTACTTTTGTGCTGTCACTTAAAGTCTCCTTCAAAGATATCGATTGTCTGCAATACAAACTGAAAGTTGAAAGTACACTTTGGATAGGCATTCTATTCCTTTTTCCTAGAGTAAAAAAGTGTGAATGTGAGTATGTGCATTCTGTTGTTTGAAAAGAAAAACTAAGGAACATTTTTTTCCCATTTAAATCATTCACAAAAGCAGTATGTTAAAATAAACTGTCTAGAAAAATGATAAAGGAGGTGGAAACCGAAAGTTGTGCTTTTATGTTATATGGTATGCGCAGTAGTGCTTCAGATTGTTAGAAATTTCATTCAAAAAAAAAAAAAGACAAAACTAGTTACAGAACTTTAATCTTGAACTAATGTTGATCATTTCCTCTCCCATTTAAATGCCTTGCTTACCTAAGCTATGCAGTGTCTCTTCATCAGAAAAAAAGAGATGGGGCAAAGGGAGCCAGGGAGGCAGAGGGAGGGAGAAGGAACGAGAGGCTAGAGGAGAGGATGGGGAGAGTGTCAGGGAGAGACTGTTGCTATATTCAGCTGATTGTACTTTTTGCTATCACTCCTGATGAAATGCTAAAGCAAGACTATACTGCCCAATAAGTAATATGTAATTATTTGTATTAATTATCATTAAGTATCACAAAACACTCATTTTAATAATGATTTAATGTTTTAACTTTATTTTCTGGTTTTTATAGATCGGAAAATTTTATCAGAGACATAGCCATCACTTAGAAACTATAGGTGAATATAACCCAAATTGTTAACTTAGGAAGCCATAAGAAGTTGAATTGATTACACCGCTTCTTGGGGCACTTTTCAAAGTCATAAATAAATGGGCAAAATCTGTATCCTGTGTAAGGACTGGAAGATTTCCTGAAAGCTCAGATACGTAAAATTG